GCCCCCAAAAAGGGAGTTCCTAAATACTAAATCTGTATCTTTGTATGTTGAGCGTCTCTGGTAGTCGGGTTTCTAATGCAGACACACCTATCCCTTAGTATGTCCGATTATGAATGGGGATTTTTATTCCCGAGAAGAGGGGGAGGGGCTTTTTTTCAATCAAACCGTATTAAAGATATAAAATAAAGTTATGATTACCTTTATTAAACTGATACAGGTAAGTACTTTGGGTTATAATATTGTCTTCATCTTTAGTCTCTTCTATCAAATCCAACGCTTGCCACAAAATGTCGTCCGTCTTATACCCGTCCATATTGACAACTTAATACAAGAAGCATGATGTATTTTTTGTTTGTAAGAAGAATACACGAAACAGTCAACCTTGACCTGCTGATCCATATTAGCACATGGATTTAACGGGAATATGCAAAACAACTTTGACATTTGTAAAATATACTCACTTAAGGAAAGGTTACTAGTGGGGTTTCATGTAATAAAAAAAAATCTTATAAATCATGGTTTGATATTGTCAATAAATATGCTATCGTTTTTTTTTCATTTAATAATCAATGTTAACAAAATATAGGGTTTAGAATGGGGTGTAAGTTAGTTATACACCTCGGGATACGGCGTGTCTGGATAAGAAACCCCTCCGGCCTCCGGCCGACGGGGTTTCTTATCCAGACACACCTATCCCTCGGTGTATAACTATTACATATGTTTTGGAATAATAAATCACGTGCACAAGACTAAACTGGTCAACTGTAACACGAGATAATTTACAGGTTTAACTTATTATGTCAACATAACAATGTAACAATAACCTATAAACTGGGTGCACTCGTTTAATTATTCTAGTATAAAAGGTATTGAGAACATATTTAATTCATGGATAGATACTGAAACACAAATTAAAAAAAAAATAATAACAATTCTAAATTAAATCGCTGTGATCCGTTCAATCGTTTTTCAAATCAACAGAACAGTTGCATTTAACAGGTCGGACACATTTCCTTATACGGACATGTATTATTTAGTATACTTATGCTCCCGTCACTGCATGTATTAGTGTTTGTTTACAAATAAAGCATTTTTTTTTGGCGATTGACCAATCCACTGAATGATTTGCAATGCATGACTTGCCTAAAACAGACACACTACTTAATTTTTCACTTATTGCCAGAAAAGAATGTTTCTTACTTTTTTTCTTTTGATTACTTTGTGATATCACCTCTGAATATACTCATTCTTTCAAAAGAAACTTTTTGCTGTCAGTATGTAAATACATTCAAAACAAATTCCTTTCATGCACAAAATTTTTTTCTATGAATAGACATGACTTTGTGTAAAATAGTAATTATGTATATCCCCATTGAGAGGTCCCTGACATACTGTGATTGCGTGAATTCTTTGTTGTCGAAAGCTTGTGACCGACACGATATCATTGAAATATCAGGTGTCCATGTCCACACTGTTATGAAATTCATTCTATAGATAGAGATAAACAGTAAGCAGCAATAATGTTCAGCTAAGTAAGATCTACAAATAAGTCAACATGACCAAAATTGCCAATTGACCCCTTAAGGAGTTATTGTCCTTTATAGTCAGTTTTTAACAATTTTTCGTAAATTTTTGTAATCTTTTACAAAATCTCCTCCTCTGAAACTACATAGACAAATTCAACCAAACTTGGCCACAATCATCAATCATTAGAAGGGTATCTAGTTTTAAAAATGTGTCCGATGACCCTGCCTGCCAACCAACATGGCCGACATGGCTAACAATAGAACATAGGTGTAAAATGCAGTTTTTGGCTTTTATCTCTGAAACTGAAGCATTTAGAGCAAATCTGACACAGGTAAAATGTTCCTCAGGTTAAGATCTATCTGCCCTGAAATTTTCAGACGAATCAGACAACCCGTTGTTGGGTTGCTGCCCCTGAATTAGTAATTTTAAGGAAATTTTGCAGTTTTTGGTTATTATCTTGAATATTATTAAAGATAGAGATAAACTGTAAAGATCAATAATGTTCAGCAAAGTAGAATCTACAAATAAGTCAACATGACCAAAATTGTCAATTGACCCCTTAAGGAGTTATTGCCCTTTAAAGTCATTTTTTTTTTAAATTTAGCTAAAATAGAACATCTGGGTAAAATACAGTTTTTGGCTTATATCCCTGAAACTAAAGCAAAAGTATAATGGTTGTATTATTTCATGCATCAATTGTAAACAAACATATCTGGTGAGCGACACAGGCTCCTTGGAGCCTCTAGTTAATATAATGTATGTATGTATCTAGTAAGATTTCATTTGAAATAATTGCAAGGCTTTAATATAATCAATAAACTTAATTTTCTTCTTATTATTTAATTTGACAAAGAGTTGTATTTATCATTTAGTAAAATGATTGTTGAAATTTTAAAGGGGTAGTATAAGGAGTTCATAAAATCTATACATTCATATATTGTGTAATGTGACTCTGTTTTGTATATCCCTGGTGAGGTTTGTTTTTAATAAACCTTAACTATGAAATACATTTTGTAAATTAAGTTAATTTCTGAATAGTTTACAAGGGGAAAATATTGCTAGTTTATAGGCTAGATATTGATATTAAAAAAAAAAACTCATCATATATACCAGGATTAAAATTTTGTACGCCAGACGCGTGTTTTGCTAACAAAACTTTCATCAGTAATGCTCGAATAAAAAAAAGTAATGGACTCCATCCAGATTAAAATATCGAATACAAATCAATTAAAATTGAATGTTCGTTTCGGAAAATTACAAGCAAATGCTAAAATCGAGCTCGATATATTTATGGATTGTATCAATGCATTTATAATTGGGGTCTTTATTAGTTTACACTGGGAACGATTTATAAGGGATTCTTTTATCATTACATTATAGTTTTTGTGATAAAAGATTACGAAAACATGTAATAAATTGTTGTAGCTAGACTAGTAAAATAACGATCAATGTTATAGCAAACAGAACGTTTACATCGATCAGTGATCGCATGAGGTTTAAGAAAAGTATAGCAGTGGTTTTACCTTTTCATCTTTAAAATATCCAAAATTGACTGCTAGAATTATAAATATATTTTATTTTCACGCTTCTGTGGAGAGCAAAGGAGATAACTTACAATGTAGAGGTCATCAGTATGGTACATTTACCTGAACTACAGTACTCATGTTTTTCTTTTTTATTACTTTATGTTTTACTTTTACGACCTTTGGACTTTTGTTCATAAAACTTTACTCAGTACTCGTCGTTCCTTAGTATTTTGTTACAATGTACCCTTTAGTTTTTCCTGGGATATGTTTAAAAACAAAATTCGCATTAAATCTTGTATCAATTTTTCAATTTCTTAATTAGAGAAAACTAACTTCTTCACGTGCAGTTCTTCGAAAATAGTTTGAAATTCCTGTGATGTCTTATTTCTAACTTTTGACACATGCACATTTTAACACTCATCTCTCAAGCCAAAGCAAATATCACATGTACACTAATAGGGAATAGGTCCAACTTAAGTTTCCCTTTATTGCATTGAATCATTTTTTCTACTTCTAATTCTGGGATCCTGTCAAATGGATTAACTCGTTCGTAAATCCAAATGATAATTTTAGAATCAAATTCAGACTTTCGAAATTATCTTTCGCGTTTGGAGCATTTGATTCTCACATATACATAAACAATGTTGTACGTTTGCAAAGTTTACATTCACTAAATAGCCAGAATTTCTAAAAGTGCTATATTGTCATTACAAACGCTGCCTTTGTTTATCACCTAAACTTTGATTCAATTATCTAGTACACGTTTTTTTTTTTTTTTTTTTTTTTTTTTTTGTTGTAATTCCTGATTATGATAACTCGAAACATAATTCAAAACAATGTCACCAAATAACCGACTTTCAGGTATTACCCTTCTTTCTATCAGCGTAGCTGCTGTTTTCTTAATCATCATTATCTTCAGATAATTTAAAGATGATGAATTGTCAACAAATATATATTTGCACTAAACCTCTGTGTCGATATCATTTTCTGCAGTAGCCAATTCCCGCGTAATCATTTGTTTATCAACAACACGTGCTTGCATTAAGTCAGGTCAAAGAGTGTTCTTAAACTCAGTGATTAAACAATGTATTCTTTCTTCTTTTGTAGCGTTAAGTTAACGATAAAAAACGACAGACAAAGTTTAGAAAACTTTGGTCAGAAAAAATGCAATAACATAAATGTATGTCAACTTGTAAATATTTTCTTAATGGCAGCGAGAATGTATTTCAAGCAAAAGTGTTTTATTAGAAGGACTCCTTAAGACAGCACACGAACGAAACAATAATTGTTTTTAAATTATATTCAAATTTATTCATTTATTGCACTATGTACATTGTATATCAGTTTAAGCATAACGGCCATAATTTAGACTTACTATTTGTTACCACTGTAACATATACACTGTATATACATATACTTTATACATGTACAGGCTAATATCTGAGAAACAGGCAATATATGCCCTCAATTTTAGAATTCATTCATACATTTTTGTATTATTCAAAATTATCAGTAAATTGTGTGTTCTACAAGGATCACCAGTCCTTCATCTTTCATCTGATACCTTAATTACTAAAATATATGCTACATAGTTTTAGTTTTACACCTATGCGTAGCAACTATTTTGTTTTAAATATGTACTACTTTCCAGTATGTTCATTTTTGACCGGGCCCGATTAGGTGGTGTTACATCTTACAAAGTCTATCCAAATTTATTTTTGCAAAGAATTCCACTCAAGTTCTAGGGGCCGTCTTAAACTTGCAGTGAGGTGAGAATTTTTTTCTCCGTGTTGACTTTGAGATGAAGAACAGCAATATAAGCGCTGTTCCTTTGCTTATTGTGTGTTTTTTGATGTGCATGTACTGATTTTGTGTCATGGATGGATACCCCATATCCTTTGTTTTTTCTATTAACTTACATATAATATCTATGATTATATATTTAAGATTTTGCAGAAACCATCTACCTGCCTACAGACAATGTTGTTGTCGTATATTGCGTTGAACTCGGAGATGTCATAGCAACAGGTAGAGATTATGTGATTAAGACACCGACCAATCATCCGTCATGGGGTTCCCGGCGGGGTTAAATAATTCGTATGATTCTAAAATATCTTGAGTTGGTCAAAATTGTTCTAGAAGAGATTAAGTAAACAAAACTTTCATTGACAATAAGGGGAAAATATTAGTTCACTATGAAATTTTAAAAACATGTTGTTCCTGTTAGTTATTGAAATAAATAGTTTGTTTTTAATTCAAGTGGAAAAATGTTTGCATGAAGAAAACGCTCATTAGATATTCTTGAAAAAAACGACTAGCCAAGTTGAGTTATATCAGTCTGTTTAAAATGACACCTCCCAGCGCTCCCGTTTTCTGATATCAGAAAACGGGAGCACTGAGAGGTTTGATTTTAATCAGACTGGAATTATATGCTCTTACATATATGTTTTTCAAGTATATATTAAGTACTTAGATTGTCTTTCTTAAAGAAACAGGCGTGTCTTACTGTATCATATCATATTCAAGAGTTCTGTTGTTTTGATGGGAAGATTCTGTTTTGTGAATACCTCTTGTGGCTCGGTACTTATACATCCCGCCATTGCGTTATTGTGCTATGGTCATTTTTTGTATTCTTGTCTTTCATTTTTGCTTATGTGTTTTGTCTAAATGCCATTTTGTTTTTCTTTGTTGGCATATTTGTTTGTTTTTATAGTGATTAAGATTGACTGCTGTACCCCATTTTTTTTACATGTTTACCTATTATGTCTGTTCGTTTTGTTCACACATTGTTGTCAATATAATGGAATTGTATACGACTGTCATACAAGTGAGAGGTTTATCTAAGTTAAACTATAAAACCAGGTTTAATCCACTATTTTCTATACAAGGAAATGCCTGTACCAAGTCAGGAATATGACAGTTTTTTTCCATTCGGTTGATGTGTTTGAGCTTTTGATTTTGCCATTTGATAAAGGACTTTCCGTTTTGAATTTTCCGTGGAGTTCGGTATTTTTGTTATTTTACTTTTTGGTCTGTTTTCAGATTTTTATTCATATTTTTTGTTTGTAGAAAGAACAATATATGGCTTAAGTCAAGCTGGAGGTAAGAATCTCTACTATATAATAATGCAATCTATAACTGTATTTAAAAAAAGAGACCGGCTGCTGATGACTTGAATTTTGAGAGAAAAAAAAACAACCAGAAAATAACAATTATAGGTCAACCTCGAAGTGTTGCCATACGTCATATAACAGCAATGACTCCAAATCAACAAAAATCTCCACATCAAGTGCTTAATACACGACTAAACAGAATAGTTCAACTATGTGCTTTAAAAATCTAATAATGAATGATGTGACATTAAAAACATCTCGAGTCGACTCCAGAATCCTGGTACAGTTAGAATATTTTATGGTTAAAAAACACACTACCGATTTCAATAGACCTTATCGCTGTTTGGGAATCTGCGACTTGACCCGAAAATTTGCGACACTTGAACATTTGACGTCATACAACAATCACTTTTCCTTTGTGGCGTTAGACATTTTCTCTAATTTTGTAACTTCAAAATTTTACGGGAAACTCTGTGATGTCCAGTAATGGCGGACTAATAGCGATAAGGTGTATATGTGTCTATCATTCTCTTGAAATCATTTAAAGATGACTTCTCATATATCTCACTGAACCTGTACTTACTGTTTACGCAAATGGACTAGAAAATGATGATACCATTGGACAACACTATCGTAACAAAAATCGCAGTTATCATATTTTACTTCAGCTGATGAAAAAAAGAATAGCATTTTCAATAGAATATGTTGATTCTTAACGTTAAATGGTTTAAGTGGCACAGGAAAAGAAGCTTACAAAAGCAATCTAGCCATTATGAAATCATACGATTAAAAGTTAAAAAAAACATGATCAGAGTGTTGGACGTCTGAAGCATATTTATAATACATGTACATGCAGTCATAAAAACTATTCACATAGTTACATATAATAAGAGGTTATATTATTTTTATCGTCTAACGTATACTGTATACTCTGTTATTGCTGATGAAAAGGAAGTTGAGAATAAGTGCCGTCAGTACTTTTTTACTCCAAAACAACACTTAATACATTGCATGCATCCGAAGCGCTTTTCTAGATTTTCCTCCATCAGGAACACTCAAAGCCGAATATTTGAAAGCCAAAGATGTAAAAAATCCGAAACAGTTAAAGAGCTGTGGGGGGCTAGGATGAAAATAAAAAAAAAAAAGGCAGGACAGGAGTTTTGAGTAAAACAAAAGGCAGGATGACAATTTATGTAAAAAAAGTCGGGATAAACTAATAAAAAAAGGCAGGACCGAATAGAGTGAAAAAAAGGCAGGACAGAGATTACAGCTAAAAATAAATGCAGCACAAAATTTTCATCCTAGCCACCTCCCCCCCTATTGATGATATAAATATTGATGTATGTCTAGATCTGTTTGTGCATATACTTTAATGGCGTCTTTTATTTTTATGGATTGACTGGTGATTGATGGGATACAATGAAATCGAGGCAGCTTGATTCCTTACATTAGTATATAAGATTGTTCATTAATTTTATTTGCAGCACATATCTCAATCGATCACGGCGAACTCAATGATCTAATCCAGAGGGAGATTGGAAGAATTAAGAATAAGCTTGTAGAGTTTGCTGCTTATATGAAAGAAATTAAGGTACTAAATCTATCCAATTATGTTAGTGTATCTTTCGTATTACCAATTTTATGTTCTTCATAAACACAAATTGTCTGACATACATACTTGTGTAAAGGCTGATTTGATGACTTTAAAAATCTATTAGGTCCTCGAGTAGCTTTTCAGCAGTTGGAAGATTGATGCAATAAAGAAGCACTATTAAAAATGAACTAGGAAATAACAATCAAATCAATCATTTTTGCATACATACAATTAATATAGTTATGATATGTAAATAACAGGTGAGGATACCTCCGGCAAATAACGACTTGAAGTTGAAGACATTAGTGCTTATCGTTTACGAGTATCAGTGTTTTCTATGTATATAATTCTTCCTATTCAAGATATTATTGCTACCATTTTGAAGTACTTGGGTTTACCATGGTTTTCATTTAGATTCATAATATTTTTGTTTCTTCTTGTTTCCTACGTTCTGTCAAAAGATTGTTGTATGTTCCATTTTCGAATGTATACAAACCAGACAGAGTCTTGGAGGAGGAGATATGATACGAGATCCTAGCTAACCCCTTAAATCGCACAAATAGTTAAATTTTTCAAAATTTTCAAATTATGCTATGATCTTTACTTGTAAATAAATAGGAAGGTATAATCTCGAAACTTATGCTATTCATATGTCAGATTAACATCTTTAGTGATATCCCTATGTCTGTATCATATTAATATCGTTTGTATAATGTATCACAATAACATCTTATGTGTTTTAAGATATCTTGTAGCAAAACATGTTTGCGGGTAATGCCTTGATTCATATCTAAATATTAATGACACAATCTCAAAGTAAAGATATGCTGGCAGTGTTTGCAATTTTGCATTAAATGCAAGACGTTTGAAGCCCTTGTTTGTTTGTTGTTTGTTGTTTTGTTTTTGTTTGTTCTGTTTTTGTTTTGGGATGGGGATTTGAAAATTCTGCTTTTATTTTATCTGCATGTTCGTTACATTATTTATCTGTACTGTCGGTAATTTATTTTTCTTGTAAAGACAAACTACCGTAACGGTTATATACTGTTAAGAGAGACCAATAAAATATAAATTGTTTTAAGTTCTTCAACAGATACCCATATATCAAACATTGAATATTTTAAACAACAATTTTTTCTAGTGTATTCTCTTCTATCTTTCAGTTGAACGGCACAGTAAAAAGTACCCATGCAAGTTCTCCAGGACTTGGAGTTATACATGTGGCAAATGAATTGAACGCTGACTTTATTGTAACCGGAAGTAGAGGTTATGGCAGATTTAGGAGGACATTGCTAGGGAGTGTCAGTGATTACATATTACACCATTCGGCTGTGCCTGTAATGGTGGTCACATATCCCAAAGATCACCACCACCACCACCATCACCATAAACATAAAGAATAATTTTTGTGAGAGAAATGAGGCGACACAAACGATATACAGACAATTGATATCTCTTCACTGGTACTGAAAGATTTGGAGGATTTCATTGTATATTTAGATTATGCAATTCTACTGAAATTCAGATGCATATCTCTTAGTTTGATCTAAAATAACTAGGGCTCTTGGATAAAGATAGTATCAAGTTAGTGTTGATACCCTTGAAAGTGTTAATATGTGTTTGACTTCCCGAACTTTTGTTCTCGAAGAACGTGATGAAGGTTATCTTAGAAACATTAGTGTCAACACTTTATTTTAGAAACATTTGTGTCAACACTTTAGTCAATAACTTTGCGTTTATTTCCGAACATTCTCAATAATGTGACTACTAATGATCTTCTAGCACAATTAAGATGTAAAGTAATGACAAATGCGTATCGTGCGATGACATATTATTAATTTGCATGTGTTAAGTCAAAAGCTGAAAATTGTTGAGAGTTACGTACATACATTAAATGGAGTGTTCTCTAAATACAATAGCTTTGACAAATCTAACTGAACAGAGATACAAAGAGACTCTAGACTTACTACTTTTATTTTATTGTTCATATGAGTAGTCGAAAACTTTGCCATCCTAGCTTTGTATTAAGTTAATCACAATCGACAGCCATTCAATTAAAGAACCAATAATCAGATGACTTATATCTTAGTGCGATTAATCGGACAGTGTCTACAATTAACGTCAACTTAAGATTATATGTTTTTCATCAGGAAAATGAATCCCAATGTTGCATATATATTTACATTAGGACGTCCCCTAATTCATGTCAAATCGTCAATATTTCTTAGTGAATTACATGTGTGCTGCAATTTGATATTTTTTCTGTCGTTTTTATTAGTTATTAATTCGACCGCTCTTCCAATCATGTTGAATTTACGAGCACAAATGAAGTGAATGTATCGTTATTATAATAAATATTTGATCCCGAGCTCTGTGTGCACGACATATTTTTACTTGGGGGTTGCAATCCAAGAGTTAATCAGTTCTAAAGTTACACTGGAATAAAAGGAGATGCCGTGTAACCGTCATTGAGTAGCAGCCCAACACTAATATTTGAGTTCAACCACAATTAACAAAAGGAACCAAAATAGGTAATTAAAACACTTACGCTTGACAATGAAGAACTAGTGGTAATGGAAGAGTTATTTCTACGTAATACGTTAAGCTTGTTAACCTAAAAACTTTTGATGTCAATATTTTCTTTTCATTAAAAAACACAAATTTTGTGTGATTTAGAACCAGTCTACAATACACCTTATCGCTATTTAGTCCATTCCGGAAAAAAAACAGTCATTTAGACAACTTCCTGTTTGGGTCAAAAAGGTTATCAGCAATGAACTGAGGGAGGAAAAAGTTTGAAAAGTGAACATTTTGAAATTTTATTAGTTTATGAAGCAATTTTTAAAAGACAAATTAAAGTAATTATAAAGCGTTGTTTGATGTGTTTACGATGGTTTAAACATGGATTGTCTCTATGAACAGTTTTATGCACAATATATTGTTTGAACAAGGCACCAGATAGCTTCAACTGGTTTGAAAAAGTTGTGTAATTTTAGAACTTATCCGGATTGGCATAAATAGCGATGAGGTGTATTTGGCAAAGGGAAACACATTGTGTGTAAAGTGCCATATAAGGGAACGACCATTTAACTTCAAAAGGGGGGGGGTATGGTTTTTTCCTAAAAAAATATTCTGATCCACAATTTGAAGAAAACAAATATTGTGGTCAAGCAGATGACAAAAAAAAAAAATATTCTGAATCCAGATTTACCCCATACCTTATAGTGTTAAATTTTGAAAAAAAATAATTTGATAAATAGCGTCAAAAAACTAAAAAAAAAACATTTCTGACTCAGACAAAAACCAGGGTGTTTTGAATTCTAGATACAATGTGCTTAAATTTTTGAGTGCATCAAAACCAAATAGGTATACAAATTTTTGATCAAAATCTTTACAAGCAAGGCCACTTTAACCTAGCTTAGTCGAATCCTCAATTGTGGCACACCTACATTAGCTAGTACATGTTATTTTTATTTTGAAAATTTAAAATTTGCAGCTTAAAATTTATAAACTTTGAACTATTTTTTCTGTGCTAAAACCTCATTATTATTAATCAGCTATTGGATGATCGACGTAATTTTACTTATTAATTTGTTGTTTAATTTTTTGTCATTGAATTTGGTTAAGTTTAAGAAAGGAAAAAAAGGACATAATCATTTTCTTTTTACGACCATTTACAAATTACTGCGTAAAATATAGATACACCACATGATTAATAAAATAGTTGCATTATGTAAAAAAGAGTTTATCGGATTTAACGTCACAATTTTGAACGGACGCGTATTTACACATTCCTCACAGTTAAAATGACACCCCACTTTAGCAAAAGCATTATTTCCGTCGGAAGTATTATTGAAACATACTTCTGGTATTCTACTATTCGATATGTTTCAGAATGAAAGTATTTGGGAACGTTTTCGTCTCTTTGTAGTGTTTTTTTTTGTGTGTGTATTTTGTTGGACTTCTCGTCGTTTTTCTCTTTTGGCCATGGTATTGCCTGTATTTCTTTGATATCTTTATCGTCCCGTTGATATGTCTTTTTTGTCTGTGATAATAATAGATCTTTTACTGTTGATAATTTAGGGCGAAGTACTGACTAATTGTTATATAGTGATTTAATTGATTTGTTGATTGATGCCAAATGTCCAATGGTAAATATTAATTTACATTAATGCTCAGATCACTGTTTTGTATTAGACCATTACAATGAGTCAGATTTTATTATGCTAGCTCACATGGTAACGGTCATAAAGAAGGCATGCCTTCTTATCTGGATACAATGTTCTGACTGAGACTCCAAGCCGACCAGTATTTGCTCTTACCCCTAAATACCGCAAAACAACAAATACTAATCTTATAGGTTTTGGTTTTGACCTGGTCGGGGAAGATTGATTAAATGACACTAGGAAATTTGTTATCAAATATAGGTCTTTGATAATTTCTATTATATGTATTAAAACTTTTCTAAACTTAGGGCACTACATTTTGAATAGACATATCCATTGTTTAAGGCATGGCGTTCGTCTAGATTCTGTAGACGTCTTTTAGTTTTATTTTATTCGTTTGGTTGATGTCTCATTGATGTTTTACCCACACCGTTGTTTAATCATGTTAAACTTGCTTTCAAAATTTTGCCATTATAAACCCTCACAGTTATTTGAATTTTATATATAGAAATTACACTGTACTTTTGTCTGCCTCAAGAATAATGTGTAAACAAAGCAAAGCACTGACGATAAGCTTATATTATGGGGATATGCATAGCTGTCTTATGACAATATGTAATTGTAGTTTTCTATGGTATAGATGGACGAATAGCTTTAACGTCCGGTCGCATAACATTCATATGCAGGAGGAGACCATGTAAATGTGATATAAATATGAATTGCGCTTTGTATTTACTGAATTTCTAACGCAGGTCGGCATGCCACTATACCAAGTTACATTAATCTGATTCACAGCCTACATGTACCAGTCATTCTTGTTACTACTAAATGCCGCGAGATTAGCAGGAAAGTACCAATTTTCAAGTTATAGTTTGACCTGGCTCGGCATCGAACCCACGATATTATACACACGAGGCAGGCACACTACAACGTGGAGACCAAAGTGGCGGTACGTTTTGTATTAGCGGCTTAATTTAAATGGCTTTTCCGTTTCAGTAAAACGTCTATATAATATTGACGACTTATACGTTTATTTATCTAGTATTACTGAGGTAGAGAACAGTCTCTCGAGACTGAGAAAAACAGGACTTTTTGTCTAAATAAAGGAAGATATAAATCCATGTTATGAAGCAAATATCCTACACCAAACAACTGTTACATTTTAGAGACGCCGATTGTATTTACAAACAAAGTGTTTGACTTATTGTATACCTTGGAGAATTCAGATTCTAAAACAAAATTGACCTAATTTGTTGGTATATTGATTCTAATAGCATAATTGTTCTTTTCTATATAATAGAGGAAAAACCATTTCCATTTGCTTTGTAAAAGATTTCATATAAAACTGTTTGAAAACTGTTTGAAAGATGAGAAATTTGATTTTTGTAATGGTAACCTAGTCATACATTATTCTGTTATTTTTTTTTTGTAAATCAATGTAAAATACCACAAGAATGTATCGAACTAATTGATTGATTTTTTAAAAATTGTTTGTTTACTTTCCAGTGGCAAATATTTCATGCTCATTCAGGACGAAAACAAATGAACAATAAATCTAATTGACAAGCTCCGCAAAGTGAGTTGACCGGGCCGCAGGACGGTTGATATGAACTGCCGTTGAAAATTAGGAATGCATGCATGTTGAATTGGCTGGAAGTTAACAGAAGAAGGTTGATTACATGCATGAAATACAGAATATACGACGTACATGAATGTTATATTGTACATTTGTCAGTCCTGAATTATGCAAACTTAATTCATAATGAAATGAAACATTAACTATTACAAGGATTGCACGGTTTGAAAATTTTATGTCGAAAGTATTTCTTTTCGCATTGAAATATATTATCCAGACTTGAGACAACGGCAGTAACTAAAGGGCTACGCGTAAAAGGAGCCTGCAATACAAATAAGTATTCTGAATATTCTCATAAAAAATAAGAAATACAATAAACAAAATATCTTTTATTCCGTGGAATGATAAAAACCGTGCCCATATATATTGACTAACTTTGAGTAACCTCTATTCAAACCCTAATAGAAAAAAAGCGATTGGTGGTCATACAAACCCCTAGAGCTTTTCAAATTAGTACATGTAAGTGACTTCAAGGATCGAACAATGTTTTAAATTTCATTGAACTCATCTTGAATCTTATTATTAAAGATATAATCCTTCAAACAAATATAATAACTCCTTTTAAAGAGTTTTTGTTATTTTTTAATACATGCAGAGAGTGTTGTACTCTTACCTCGCGTTTTTGTCAGTATGACTGTGTAGTAATATATCCTGCCAACTCTCCACTTTTACCCACACTCATGTATTAAGATAACAAAACAAGATGGTTCAAAAAGAAATGATTTCCAATAGAGCCAACGAAGCGCCCGATGTTTCATAGGACAGATATTGGCGTTAATGCACATTGTCTAGGAGTCACGATTCAACATACTTAACCCGACTGTATATGCTTTTTCTTTTTTCCTTAGAAGGAACTCTGCTTTATATGAGTACGAACACAAATCGGCCAGTTGGGGCACACAATTATTACCCAATACATTACCGACTGTCTGTTGAAATAGCAATCCACATACTCAACACACATGTATAAGATATGAGAATGATGGAGCTGTCTCTCTTTGTCCAAATGTAGCTAGATATCCTCAATATAAAAAATATATACATTAACGTTGACATTTCTATTTTATGATTTAGTTAAAATTAATGTTTGTATACAACCGATACAATTTTTAACCTAATGAACCATTATTGTCTTATTATTTTATTGTTTAGTTTGTTTATTATGTTATGAATAATTCCACTGTAATTATTCTGTTCTTCAAAGGGTACATGGGGCCTCGGTGGCCGAGTGGTGTAAGTAGTTGAACTACTGTATCACTAGCCTGTCAACACTGAGGTTTTGAGTCCAGTCCCGCGCGGGGCAGGTGCACTCGACTCCAACCTTAATTGACTAGGAATGTCAGTTTTCCTACCGAAGGTCGGTGGTTTTCTCCGGGCACTCCGGCTTCCTCCACCAATAAAAACTGACCGCCACGAAATAGCACAATAGTGTATAAAGTGGCGTTAAACACC